CTGATAGGACTAAATAAACAAAAAGGTAGATAAGTAAAAAGCACTGTATATGAAAGAACAAAAAATACTGTCATTCATTTCAAAGGAACTTCAAGGGAACTTTTTCTCTCATAGATGACTGATTAGAATTGTTGGACTCTAAACAGTTTACAGTTTTTATTTTTGGATAATTTTTAATAGAAAAAAAGTAGTTTTAAAATTTTTAGAAAATCAATTATTATTTTTTTTTTTTTACATGCCATATTTTTAGTGTTTGGAATAAATTATCAAAATACATTATTTTAATAAATTATCAAAATACATTATTTTAGGATTGCAAATTTTTAATTTAAGCTACATAGAAAAAAATTATCAATCACTCCTAAAAAAAATAGAATTTAGTTTATAAAAAGGTGTTTCATGCAAAATGTTAACAAAAAGTTTGGTTACACATTTGTTGGGTTCAGTCATCGATTATTGTAAAATCATACCAGAAAATGTTTTTTCTACTATAAGAACATAATTCTTGCCAAAAATAAACTGTCAGTAAAAATATTTCATACTAGACTCCATAACATTGTAAGTCTATATTCTGAGAATGTCAATTCAACACAGTATAAAGAAATCAGCAATTAATAAATGAAAAAAAATTATATAAATAAATAGCAAGTGTACCTCTTTATGCTAACAAGGGTTTTTCTTCCAGTAAAAAGTGCCTTTTGCCATTCATCTTCAGATCCTTTAATTGCATATTGAGAAACATCCAAAGCAAGGAGTTTTTCCTGTTGTTTCTGAACTTGAACAGCAGCTTCTTCCTGTAAAAACAATAAAATAATTGATTTTTGAATCAAAATGTAATAAATATGCAAAAAACTATACTCTTAAATGCTGCCTTACAAGCTCTTCATCCAAATCCATTTCTAAAGGCTTCATTTCAACATCAGTAGAGATTAATGTACTTTCAACACTTTTTTCAATAATGCCCGAAATGTAACTGCTGATTTTCTTTAGGGTTCGATTTAAAAGACCAACAACTTGAATATTCTGTAGTTCTAAATCTTTTGAAATAGCATCTAATGATTTGTTTTGTAAACCATATGACAACAATATAGCCTAGATGGATAAAATAAAAAGAAAAAATAAATAATAAAGGAATGGTTAAAATAGAACAATATTATCATTAGTAAAAAAAAAAAAAAAAATCTGATCAAATATATATATCTATAAATAATTTCATATTAACAGTATCCGATTAATTTGATATAGACTTCCTGTTCCATACACAGAAAATAAAACATGGATAACTTCATGGTAAACCTGTCATATTCAGTATGTAAAATTTTTTACTTATTATCTTATTTTCATAAACATTTGTGTTTTCTGAGAGAAAAAATGCAGATATTTTACAATTTAGTTCTAAAATATCCTATAAGAACTACATTCTTCCTAATAACTACACATTTTTAAAAATCATCTATAAAATCATGGGTGCTATCCAAAAATTAGAAAACGAGATATTTTTTTTTATACAATGTTACATAAAGGGAGTACCACTTAATAAACCGAATTGATAAAGGTATGTTAATCATATAGTAAAAAAAGAAGGAAAAAAAAACTAATTAGAACAATAATAACTAATTAGAACTATCAAAATTTTATTTATTTAACTTTTTGTATTCAATTTTTAACAAGTGCCGAGTTGTACATTGCCTTAGTAAATGTGTGTAAGTTTATTCAAAGACATTATACATAAGATAAGCATGCCAATTTAAATAAAATCCTGCACAATGCACTTTTGAAATAGGCTCCACACAATTTAGTGAGCCAAAAAAGACAACATATTTGAAATGTCTAATATGTTACAATGAAGTCAGACGCAGGGTTGCAGCTATGTTAATATGTGAGCATGATTGTTTCAACTGATCAGCATTGCACACAAACCACTTTACTTCTCAGGCAATCTCATACCCATCAAATCTGACACATTAAGTTGTCACTTGGGATCAAACCATCGTTTTTTGCAATGTTAACTGGGGATAGGATGGCTTAGTGCCTTTACCAATATAGACTTAGGGACTATGCAGTAAAGTTTATATAAACAGGCGACAGCATTTACGTTTACAATAAATTAAGACACATAAATTTTATTGATATCCTTTATGATGTCAACATGAAGGGGATAGTCGGACAAAACGGGATATGTCGCCTAGGGACCAGACTATTGCAGCTATCTAGTGGACAACGACAGAAACGTGTTATTTGATCGAGATTATATCATTCTCGGTGCGTCCAGCCTCGAGATCACTATTTAATAGAAAGTTGTAGGTCTCAGAACTTTTTTACTCTATTTTTTTGCCATTTTCTAAATGTACTGCCTACATATATGGGAATAAAATTCCAGTGAATATTAAATTTAATTAACCATTTATTTACCAATATTTTTATGTGCAGTCTATCTAACTTTCTTTTCACATTTAGGCAGCAGCCAT